CAGAGGACATGCATTGACTTGGAGAAGAAAGCTACTGAAGATTAGATGGAACCCGCAGAACAAAAACAAGCTGTAAATACATCCCTACCGACAAAGAACATTTGCCATGCAAGTTTTGACAGTTAATGAACAACCGAGAGTAACAAAAAAGCACTAATGTCAACATGTCCTGGCCTAAAGACAACCCTATTAATAGTTTTGCGCCACCACTACACATTACTGATTAAGGAAGATAAAATTGTAGCCTATAAAGCAAGCGAAGAATGTGAGAGTGCCCCATGGAATTTTGTCTCTTAACTGTTTGTTGAGATGTCAATCTGATCATTGATCAGATCAGGATTGGAGTGGTACAGATTGATGAGGATTGAACCACATGCTGGTGGTGGTTCTGCCTGGAACGGCTGACCCGCAATTGCCTGTTGCTGCATCTGGTGATGATATATATATATATATATATTTTTTTTTTTTCTCAGCAGTACTTGATTGATCTGACAATGTTTGTATTTTGAATAAGGCAGCGTTCCAGTAATTTTATTTTGTGCTTGTGAGGTCATACCATGCTTCTTGCCTTCAATGTTTGACTTGCTCAATTGCAATGTTAAGGGCATGTTTGATATGGGAAGGTGACCAAAAGGTTTTCTTCTGGATTCTACTTTCTGGCTATTTTATATTCTGAAGAAAGCAAAAGAAAGTTTGGAAGAACTGAACTTGTAGTCACGCTAGTCTTGTAGTGTACAAAAGATGTATTTATATTTACAAAAATTAATTGAGACTCTAATTAAGCTATGCCTGACATTGAGGAAGGCTAACGGCACATTATTTGACCATTGCTTTTGAATATGATTTGTCCTTGATTTCTTGAGATTGTTCCCATAAGTACTGAGCATGATTTCCAGATATTGTTTTCATGTCTGCTGAGCTATATTTCTCAATTGATTCATGCTTTGATAGCTCCAGTTGCTGTAATTGCTGTGATTTCTTCTTTTTCCCTCATGTTCGACCAAACCCCTTGTTTCAAAAACCTAGAAAATTAGACAAACAAAGCCAGATTTACCTTCAGTCTATTTTCGTGAGCAATAAAAAGAAAAGGGAAACAAAACTTTAAAATAAAAGGAAAAAAAATTGAGGGATGTTTGTTTGGACATATTAAAAATAGTTATTAATTATTAGTTTTAATTAAAGAGATTAAATATTTTGAATTATAGATATTAATTATTATCAATCATTGAATATCAATTATTAACCATCAAGTTGTTTCAAAAAAACTAATTCAAATAGCCTATTACTCTCCATGTAAGAGGTGTTTGGTTTGGAAACTTACAAATGACTATTAACTACTAGTTTTAATCAAGTAAATTAAATATTTTAAATTTTAAATAATAATTATAGTTAATTATTAAATTTCAACTATTTGAAACTATCAATATCATTATATCAATAATATATAAACAGTTAATTTAGCAACTTTGAGTGTTCATTTTATTTTAGACTTTTAGGTTTTAATAATAGTCCATAATCTTTTGGGACGGAAATGAATCCATAGATTGGGCAATTGGGGTATCAAGCAAAGTTGTCAATACTGTATCGGTACATATATCGATTTTTTTTATTGAAACGGTACATACTAGATATCAAAATTTTTTGCGTATCATTTTGAATTTATCGCTATAAATATATATTTTTATAAATTAAATACGCCAAGAGAAAAAATGAGAAAAATGCATTCAAAATGCAGAGAAATAGAAAAGGAATAACAATCACCTATTGCCAAACACACAAACACACAATCACCCACTGCCACACAACTGTTTCATCATTCATGAATTGCAATCAAGCACATTAGGGGAAAAAGTGAATTGCAAAATGCCTAGAGGAAAATGCACTGCAGAGAAAAATGCATGCAATCACCCACTGCCAATTGAAAAATTGCAAAATTGCCAAATTGTTAATTGCATATTTTTAATTGTAAATTGTAAAATTCAGAGAAATAGAAAAGGAAGAACAATCACCCATTGCCAATTGAAAAACCGCAAAATTGTCAAGCTGTTTCTTGAATCTGAATCAAGCACGCCAAGAGAAAAAAACCAAAAAAATGCATGCAAATTGCAAAATGTAGAGAAATAGAAAAAGAAGAACAATTACCCACTGCCAAACACATATACAATTGCCCACTATCATTGGTAAAAAACTTAAAAACCACTAAGAATTTGAAGTTTTAAATTGAAAAAGAAAAGGAAGAACAATTCATGCTTGAGAGACGAAGCTAAGTTGTTGGAGAGTGGTGAAGAGATCGCGAAACAAGAAATGGAAAGAAAAAGCAATGGCAGCAAAGCATTCACCGAATACCAGCTCACCAATGACAAGTTGAGGATGAGGTTCATCATTCGTGAGAAAGGAGGAGAATAGAGATTTGCAATCTGAAATTGCAGAGTTAATAAAAAAACCCCTAACCAAAACAAAGCATTCATCGAATCACCAACCCATTGGTGACATGTTGAGGACGAGGTTCGTCATTCATAAGGAAGAAGGAGAACAGAAATAGATTTGCAATCTGAAATTGCTAGGGAATCCTTTTTTTTATATATATAAATTTAGACTTAAGGTGTACGAATCATATTTCAATATATCGATCAGTACATTAAATTTCGATCAATATACCAATATTTAACTAAAATTTTTGATATTTGATCGAAACAGAATTTAAGTTTGTACCATTTCGATTAATTGAAAAAATCGATACCTACCAATTGTACCAATCAATACAAAACGGTATAAACAACACTGATCAAGTTATCTAATTGGGTTCATATTTTCAACGGTCTTTTTCGGTTCTTGAAAATTGAGAATGTGTTGAAAGCCCAATTGAACTTTGAGGTGGCCACGTAGGCACGTACTCCAAGATGTTAAGGATCTAAAAATCGGTGGGCCTTGCTGAAATTATTTTATAAGTTGAAAAGAATAAATAAAAGAAAATATTATAAATAC